ACCCCCCGGCCCATCCAAGTAGCTCCCATTTGTTAGGTTTGAGTGTAGGGGAGAAGCGTCACAGGCAGTGAGCCACCAACACGGTCTAACGGCCCGGAGTCGTCTCTGTAGCTCCACAAACTTTCAACTGAGGTGCATGCCTGTGTCGGGCTCGCAACTGACAGTGCCACTGCACCTGGCCGCGCGTTCGAACTTCAGGGCCCCGTCCTCTGATTCCATAGGCTTCCATGGAAACAAAGATTCTAGAGTTGGAGCATGATATGACCGCTAACCCCCAGACCACCCCATGAGTCAAAAAACACACCAGGCACAAACGCAAGATGCACCCGGCACGACCCCTTTGGTGGGAAAAGCGATGGGGGGTGGAAAAGCACCGGACTGTCGAGAGAAGTCGACGCACACCCCAAAGCTCGAGCAGCACTGTGGCAGGAGCACGATTTCGATTCTCGACAAGTTACGAACTCTTTTTGAACGGAAAGCACCCGGAGGCAGGAGTCACATCGTGTGACCCTCGTAGGTCTTTAGCGGTTTCGAGCACTTTTCACTCCAAACTGAGCAGCGGGAGCACGATTCGCAGCCGGCGCACCCTTAATAATTCGAATAGAGTTTTGGTGTATATTATACCATAATTAAAATAAGGTGCCCCCAAAATACTATAGGCAATTATTAAGGCCCCTATATTAGTTATGAGCTGCTCGACACGAGGGAACCGCAAGGAGCTCTGCTTTTTCATCGACCTACCGGGGTGTCCCCGGCATCGTTTCGTGTCCTTCGGCGCTTCACGCCTCTCTGCACCGGCCCGAGCTGCTCCCGAACGGAGCTGCTATCAGCACCTGGGAATGGAAGAGAGGACCCACAGGCCCCATAGTAGTTCTTTGTTTGGAATTCCCTAATAGGATCCTAAATATACGCCACAAGTGGTTGTATAAGGTACCTAAGACCACACAAAAGGGAAGAAGGGCCCACTGGGAGACCTAGGCACCGAACTCAGGATCGCCCCAAGTCACCACAGCCCCATCCGCCCGAAGGGCGGCAAAGGCACGGTCCGTGTACTGAATCTGCAGGACATCGATGAGATCCTGGGCTCTTGCGGAGGAAATTTGATTGTAGTTGCCATCTTTAGGGGTTTAGGGTTTAGGGTTTTGTAGTTGCCATCTTAGGGATCTATAGTAGATCATACAAGGGTTTACACATTATGGCAACTTAAACCCTAAACCCGAACCCCTCATAGAACCCTTATGATCCCTTCTCGAACCCCAGAAGATGCCTTTTATGGTAACTTCAAGTACTTAATAATTAAAATAAGGTTTTGGGGCCCTGTATACTATACGTTTAATAAGGAACCCCCAAAATGGTATTGGTCATTATTTAAGCCTCTGTATTAAGCCTTAACCCTAAACCCCAAACCAGTTAACCCTAAACCCATTAACCCTAAACCCTAAACCCATTAACCCTACAACCCTAAACCCATTAACCCTAAACCCTGAACCCTAAACCCTTAACCCTAAACCAATTAACCCTAAACCCTAAACCCTATAAACCCTAAACCCACTAACCCTACAAACCCTAAACCCTAAACCCTAAACCCTGAACCCTGAACCCTAAACCCCTAAACCAATTAACCCTAAACCCTAAACCCTATAAACCCTAAACAAGAACCCAGGCGCTCCACGCACAGAGCTGCTGTCGCCTCCAGCAGCCGGATCGCCCCAAGTCGTCACAGAGCCATCCTGCAGAGACCGCGGACGATTCATGGTTTAGGGGGTTTAGGGTTTAGGGTTTAGGGCTTAGGGGTTTGGGGTTTTGGGGTTTAGGGTTTAGGGTTTAGGGGCTTAGGGGTTTGGGGTTTTGGGGTTTAGGATTTAGGGTATAGGGGCTTAGGGGTTTGGGGTTTTGGGGTTTAGGATTTAGGGTTAAG